GCTTAAGAGTAAATTTGGTAGTTAGGCTTCCTTCGGACCTTACTGCTCGACTTTCTCATGATGTTATGTTATTCGTCTGGTGTCGATGATACTTGTGATTTCTTCCGCTGCTTCCTACACTTGTTGATAACATATGTCGTCTTAATTTCTATCTCGTCATGTCGATGATTCACCTCGTTTGATCCGGATGCTCGTCGTTTAGTTCTAAACTTAGGAATTTTTCTGATTATTCTCATTATTCATCATCATTTGAATTTCAAATTTTCGCATTATGATGTGACACGCCGCCTCAATTTCCCTTTTACCGCTTCGAATTCTGTGCCCCATCGTGGCCATTGGATTTCACTTTAATCCAAGGGCTAGGGCTTCGTTAGCTCCTTTATAAATAACCCTCTCCTTTTCAATTGGTCACTTTTGTACTTTCTGAATTCTTGAACTTCCTTCTCCGTTCATAATAACATCTGTAACTCTACCGGCGCTCGTTTTTCCGGCGATCTTTTCGGGCTTCTCAGATTCTCACACAAGACATCATGTGCAAGTTTCTCATTTTACTTTTTCGCAGCCTCTTTCCTTCTTTCTCTCTCTCGTTTTTTTTTTCAGTTTTCTGTGTTTTGTAATTGAAGATTTCAAAGTGTTCTTCGTGTTCTTCACGATCTTCAAAGGATTCTAGGAAGTTAGCATTAGATCTTTTCTGTCCGTCCCTTACCAATTGCATCGTGTTTGCGGGTGACTCGTCTTTAAGGGATAAGGTCCACTTAGAATTTCTCCGTATGTCAACTTATGTCGACTTAGTATTCCTCCTAATTGTCCTGCTATTCAATTCTTCTTCATTCCTAGGACCGAGTAAGTCGAGTAAGAACTTCTATGGTCGACTTGTGGTCCCTGAATTTTCCATAAGTCGATATATTTTCGTACCTCTGCGATGTTTTGTTCTTGTGTACTGATCATCACTTCTCTAATTTTTCCAATAGATTCCGAATCCGAATCTGTCTCTGGCTCTATTCACGGCTCCCTTGTCCGTCAAATAGAAAAATATTCGGGCTCTGATTCCGTCAAGATAATTGGCTCTAGGCCAGCGGTTGAGCAAGAGAGATCGCAGGGCTCATCTACCTTGATTTTCGGTTTTAATTAAGATGAATACGACCAAGCGCTTTTATCAGGCGTTCAAATGAATTATAGGAGTGATCCCACTCGGGGTAGTGATTATCCTCGACTTAACCTTATTCCTCGAGGTATTCCCCTTAGGCTTTTAGACATTCCTTTATATAGAGCGAGTCATATCTCTTTTTCAATGATAACTCCTGTTTTTTAGCCTTGAGATGTAACCATAGCTTGTCCATTAGTTAAACTAGTTGTTCTTCACCCGTTTTCTTGTGCATCTACAGCAGAAATCGAGGGATTTAGGTCCTTCAGTGGTCTTCCTTCCGACTAGGAGTTGGTCGCTCATAGTACCAATGACGTCTTCACTCATCCTCCTAAAGGCTGTTATACGTTTTTTGTTGACCAAATAATGTTCGGCTTGCGTTTTCCCATCCAGTCAGAACTTCTGTCAATTAGTAATATGTATAGTGTACCTATAAATCAATTTTCTCCCAACTTTATTCGCATCATGGTGGCTTTCATTATCATTTCCAAAATAAAGTTCGGTCATTTTCTGCCCGAATTTCTTTTGTATTGCTATAGTTATCGCTATAAAAGACTCCCACTGCTTGGGTCGTCGCCGAGGTGTCACCTTCTTCGAGGATCTTTCCTCGAACGTTAATGAATGGAAAACCAAGTATTTTTACATCCGACCCGCCTTCGGTCAATATCCTTTCACCAACGTTTACATAACCAGCAAAGCAAAGCAGGACCACAATCGCCTTCAATCGAGTCAATTCCAGGCCATGCTAGATGACTTGAATAAATTCAAATGGAGTGCCCGTTTACCGGTTAAGGATAGTGCTTTCCTTAACCATGTGGGTCTTTGGATTGACGAGGACGCCCCTCGGATCGATGATCCTAGTAAGCTCATATGTTTCACTCATTTGAGCATCCCTTGCTTTGCTCTATTATTCGTAAATTATACCATGACTGTCTAACCATTGTAATAACCTCTCTCAAAAGGTTATTTTCCTTGTATGTTCCAGTTAAAGCTTTGCAACGATTTGAGGCCAAGAATATTAAGGGCGGTGACAAGTCCGCAAAATAGCCCGTCCCCTCGAAAAAAAACTCACGACGACTCTGGGTCGGGGTTGAAAGAGACGACAGTCGAGACGGCTGCCGTAAAAAAGTCAAAGGTGATCCTTCCTTCTACAACTCTGCCGCAGAAGACCTCGGGCTCAAAGTCTCGGAAGAGAGCCCAAGACGAGGCTGATTTTGTGCTGGTGCCCGACTCTCTTAAGCGCAAAAATAATAAAGACAAGGGAAAGATCGATTGAGGCTC